GACCTGAACAAGATCAATTACTTGAAAATTTAGTGCATATGGTAAATACTTTTAATTATTTTAAATATTTAAAGTACATTGTTTTTTTTTTTATTTGCTTAAAGATTTATTTTTATTTAGKCTGCTTTCCAACAAAATACATTGGGTTTATCTAAACTTTGTCCAACTGAAAATGTATCTAAAATTAACCGACAAGTTCTATTAACTTATCTGAAAAATCATTATGTTCCTAAACGAATTGTAGTTGGAGGAGTCGGAGTTGATCATCAAGAACTTGTTGATAGTGTACAAAAGTACTTGAAATAATAATTGTTACACAAATTATATAAAAATTAATTTTGTCTTCACTTGATTATATATTTCAACATTTGTTTTATTTAGGTACCTGGTTGATGAAAAACCAATTTGGAACAATGAAAAACTTGATACAATTAGTATTGATAACTCAATACCACAATACACTGGTGGAATAATCAAAGTATACATTTATTATTATTTAAGATATTTATCAATTGTTTTATACATGTTTAAACATTATAGGAAGATTGTGATATTCCTGCATTTCCTGGACCATCTGGTTTAGCTGTCTTATCACATGTAATGATTGGTCTGGAATCTATACCTCTAGTGGGCACTAATGATTTTGTTCCATCGTGTGTATTAAATCTGATGATGGGCGGTGGTGGATCTTTTAGTGCTGGTGGACCTGGTAAAGGAATGTACACAAGGCTGTATAGAAATGTTTTGAATAGGTATGCATGTGATTGCTTATAATATAACAAAATACAAACACATGAAATAATATTGAAATAAGGCCCACGCGCACACCAATGTAGTAAACACAAAAACTAACATGATCACTTCTTTCATACTGCTTTGGTGTGCATCCAGCTCAAATAATATGTATTGAATATTAAAAAATTAATCAACATATTAAACTTGTATGAATAGGTATGGTTGGTTGTATAGTGCTACTGCTTATAACCATGCGTATACTGATAGTGGATTATTCTGTATTCATGCCAGTGCTGAACCACAATATGTTCGTGATATGGTTAAAGTCATTGTGTTTGAAATTGCTAACATGGCTAGTAACATTCAAAGAGAAGAACTTGCTGTATGTATTTATTTTATTTTAAATGTTCATATTTAACATTATTTATTTTATAGAGAGCAAAGAAACAATTACAGTCACTCTTACTGATGAATTTAGAAGCACGTCCTATTGTGTTTGAAGACATGGTTAGACAAATTTTAGCTTGTGGTTACAGAAAAAGACCAGAAGAACTTCTCCAAGAAATTGGTAAGTTTAAATACAAAATATTAGGTTACACAAGTACCTATTTAGGATCCAATTTTAGTACTCCAATTTCACTTGGCCAAGTATCCTATTATTTGATAAACCCTAGCTCTTAAATAAATGTTATTAAATATTTTAATGTAGTTTAATTTCAATTTGTTGGTTAAGAAAATATAATATAATTATAGACAATTGACTGAAATATCTTAATATATAACAGCATTTAAAATCATGATAGTACTTATCAGATTTATGCAGTTTTATCATTCTTAATTGTTTAATAATTAAATCTTTTTCATATAATATATAATATAATTATACATTAAAAAAATATATGTTTTTATTTATTTATGATTAACTTATTTTTGTATAAGACTTCACAAATATGAAAAAAATATTTTTACCCACTGATAATAATTTTTCAGTTTAGAAGATACCACATCTGCATGTTTTGCATATGTGTTACAAATGTAAAAATAATAACTTTGTGTTCAGCTGAACCAATTTGTTGTTGTTTGTTTTAATATTAAATTGAATTGATTTACCTATGAATTATGATTAAACTTAAAAATAAGAAAATAATTTAAGTTTTCTCGTTTTTAGTCAATATTAAGCATATTTATATTTTAACATTTTACATACTCATTACTTACTTAAAAATTAAAATATAATAAAAAAATTATTGTAAGAACACAGTTAATATGCTTACATTTAAGTTTGATCATAATTCATAGGTTAAAATTTAAAAAATAACTAACAACAAAAAATTTGTTACGCTGAACACAAATTTGTTATGATTATGTTTGTAGGACGTAGACAACACATACAGGTGTGATATAATCTAAAATTAAAAACAATTCTCTTAAATATTAAAGCTAGCAACAAACAATTGAATATTAAATATGTAGTATCAGTATTCAGTTCCTATAACATAAGTAAATATATATATATTATATTGATTAAATTGGAAAACTTTTCAATTGTACCATTACTAGAATATAAGTTAAGTTAAAAAATATAATACTTGAACAATTTCATGYAATAACTCAACCATTATTTTTATATTTTACTCATTTGATTTTTTTAGAAAATGTTACTGAAGATGATATAGTAAGAATTGTTAAGAAAATCCTGGATACTCCGCTAACAGTAGTTGCTCGTGGAAATGTTTCAAAATTACCACTAATTGAAGAAATGCAAGAATTAATTAATACAAAACCTAAAGGAAAAATATTTGGTCGGTTTTAATATATCTTAGTTTAAGTCCATTTTGCATTTTTGTTGATTTTAAAATAAATTTGTTCAAACAAAATATATAACTTTTCATATTTTATGTATAATGAAAAATAAAGATTTATATTTTATACATACATTTACTTAGTAGGAAATTAAATTCTGAATACTTAAATATATTTAAATTGTAGTTAAATATGAACATTATTACCAAGTATGTAAAAATTTAATTTGAGTAAACCTTATTATAAAAAATACAAAACTTTTTATTTAATATTTTACATAAAAGATTTTAGTTATACCATTGATTATAGATATTAGATGCTATACTATTTTATACTTGATGGTAAATGGTAATACTATGATAATATTTAGTGGGAGGATAGTTGATTCAAACTTGATGATTTGATGATCCCTATTGAATTCTCTTTTAGTTATAGGTTTATCGTTTATGTTTCACATAAGTCAATTAAGACASTTACATAAACAAAGGTCTAAYGACCAGCTCAAAATATTAAGAGATTAATAGATCTTAAATCTGTGTATTTTTAACCAAATATTTTAATTAGTATTTTCTGGACATGATATAATTTTTAGTATTTTTTTAGTTTTTAGTTTTCTAAAATGGGTTTAGAACGTCTTATATTTCCGTTGTGTTCATCTATTAGTTACCCGTACATAGTTACGATTGTTGATAATAAGATAGTGAATTAAGTAACACTACAAAAATGATTATACTATTACATAGTATTGCTATTTGTTATTGGCAAAAAAATAGATCAAYCTACCGTAATGTACTATTGTCTATTACTAATAGAAAAATAAATTTGTAATATCAAATCTTTATATTTTATATTATATTTCTTCTGTTTGTCTGTACCACGGACTAAAATATGTAGAAACGAAGACCTCATCAGTAGCCCTAAATGTTTTCAAAAGGTACATTTGTGATAATAACGACATCGATGTGATAATAATGTCATCGATGTGATAATGTTTTTATATTACTATCGTGGTCATTCTAGTGCCATGACACACGTTTTTTGTATAATATACTAGTAAACTACTGTTGTTAAGTTGTGCGTTGCATATTTAAATAAAGAAATATTTGTACGAGCAATTATTAAATATTGTATATTATTAAATAAAATTATAAAATAAAACAACATGGTGTGTACCTAGCGTAATCTATGTACAGAAAAATCAGATATTTTATTATTATAATTAAACATTTTATATTAATTGGATCACACTAACATTYTAACAATAACAATAAGCTTAACCCTTATTAGTTATTTTTACTTAACCACACTTAACAATCAATAATAAAACAATATTACTTATACAGTTATATGTAATTAATAGAACAAATTGTTGAGCTCATAACTGTCATCGATGATTAACCATTTTGAAAGACTCGTTTTATTTTAGCCCAAAACAAGGAACTTTAACGCATTTATTGRAATAATAGAGATCACCACAGCTTTTAAGAGGAAGTCACACCCGCATGACGTGTTGTCTCCGTCTTACAGGTGCGTAACATGGCAAATTTTGCGCTTAGCAGAACCCACTTAGCTTCGTTAGTTTAAAATTTGGAGTGAATTGACCTCTTATAAAAATTCAAGGTTTTATTAACTTATCTAATGAAATCATAGGCTGTTTATTATATTTTAATTTTAAAGCGAGCCATGAATATATTAAGATATACAAACAATTAACGGTTTTAAAATACTCATAACTCGCTTTAAAATTAAAATCCTATTAGAAGCCCTTGGTAACAATGTTGCCTTTAATTTTTATAAGGGATTAATTTTCTCTAAGTTTTAAATTTACTGAGCGTAAAATTTGTTATGTTACGTAGGTACTCGTAAGACGGAGACAACACATGCAGGTATAGCGTCCTCTCTTACCTTAAAACAAAATATGTCAGACGCAGGTCCAGAA